CAGTTTCATACCATGATCCCCAGGTCTGGTAAGTTTTATGACCTTGGCTGTGGTTATGGATTCATGACCTATATGCTGCACTGGGCGGCCCGTGGCCGGGAGTTTACCGGTGTGGATTATGATGCGGAAAAGATTGAAGTGGCGCAGCATAATTTTCTCCGCGATGAGCATATAAGGTTTGAACAGGGCGACCTGAATACCTATGCGTTACAAGCTTGCGATGGCATCATCATCAGCGATGTGCTGCATTACCTGTTACCGGAGCAGCAGCAGGCTTTGATGGAACGTTGCGTGGCCGCATTGAATCCCGGTGGCAAGCTGATTATCCGTGACGGGGTTAAAGAGCTGGAAGGCCGCCACAAGGGTACAAGGTTGAGTGAATACTTTTCAACCAGGATGTTTAAGTTCAATAAAACAAATAATGACCTGTATTTCCTGAGCAGGCAATCTATTGAATCGTTTAGTGGGGATCATGGTCTTTCATTGGAAATTGTAGACAATACAAAGTTTACCAGTAACCTTATCTTTATATTACAGAAACCCTATTAAACAATCATCTGTTTCTGTCGTCTTAACCGCCAGTTAAAAACAAATCTTATGAAAAAGACAGCCAGTGTCTTCCTGCTGCTTGCAGCACTTTATACCACTTCATTTGCACAAGACCGCCCGGCACCTTCACCGGAGCAGCGGGCCGAACGGCAAACCGAAATGATGGGTCGCATGCTCAGCCTTACGCCGGAGCAAAAGACAAAGATTTATGAGGTGAATATCAAAACGGCAAAACAATCAGGCAAGTTTAGCGGGCCGGCAGATAGTACCAACTTCCGGGTTATCCAGGAAGCCCGTGAAAATGCCTACAAGAAAATACTGACGGAAGATCAGTATAAGAAGTATGAAGAAACAAAGGCAAGGCGCCAGATGAATCGTGGTACTGAACGTCGTGGACCGGTTCCTGGTGCGGAACGCAGCGCGGATTAATAGTAGCTGGCAAACGGGTTATTGAAGTGCTCCTGCAGGCTCTCGCAGGAGCACTTTGTCTTTTATCGGATAGCAACAGCTGTCAGCTGGCTTGAAAAGCATCTCCTAATTTTCGTAACCGTAGCGCTTCGGTGATTTCATCCAGTATGGCCGGGTCATCAATGGTGGAAGGAATTTTATAGGGCTTTCCGTCTGCAATCTCAGCAATTGTTTTACGCAATATTTTACCGCTCCTGGTTTTGGGTAGCCGCTTTACAATAGCTGCGTTTTTGAATACGGCTATCGCCCCGATCTGGTCGCGTACTGCAGCTACAAGGGCTGTTTCCAGCATAGCCTCGTCAATATTCATACCGTCTTTTAAGACCACCAGGGCAATGGGTCGTTGCCCGCGCAACTCGTCGGCAATACCTACAACAGCACATTCGGCTACTGCCTGATTTGCGGCTACAATGCCTTCCATTTCGCCGGTGCTCAGCCGATGGCCGCTTACATTGATCACGTCATCAATACGGCCCATTACAAAAT